TGTGTGTGTGAGTGATTCTTTTTTCCTTTATTTTAAAGATTTTTCATTATCTTGAAAATATATAAAACATAATAAATACAAGATTTTAAAGAGAACCAGTTGGCTCAAAGAATTAAGAAATATGCAAATTCAGATTTGAAGCCTAGCTCTCAACTTCTGACTAACATGGGTTAAATATTCTGGCCTCATTGATTCTGTTTCTCATCTACAAGGAGTAAAATAGCAACCTGGAGAAATGAACACTCTTGTACTCTGCTCGTGGATGGTGAGTTGATATCCATGAAAATGTTAAATGTATGCAGCCTATGTCCCAGAAATTCCACTCCTGGAGATTTATTCTAAGACGTATTCACATATGTTCAAAGATAGGCACAAATACAGCCTTTGTGGTCTTGTTCATAATGACGAAAAACGGAATACTAGAAATGTCCATCACTAAGGGAATAATTACTTCAATAAATGTATCCAAAACACAGTTGACAAAATTCAACACCTATTCCTGACTTTAAGAAAATACACACTGGAACAAGGTAGGAATAGAAACTTCCCTAATAAATTGAAGGTGACTTCCCAAAAATATAGCAAACATCATCCTCAACAAAACCAAGGAATCAATGGTACAAATATTAAAAAGAAAAACTATTTTCATTTAAATATTATACAATTTCATACCTAGAAAATCCATGAAAAACAATTCAAAAGGGATGAGAACTAATAAGAGAGTTTGAAAGGTGACCAAGAAAACATAAACAAAAACCAATAGCTTCCTTACACGCCAGTAGTAACCTACTAAAAAATATAATGAACAAATGATTCCTAAACACAATAAAAGCACAGACTGGCTGGATTTGCCTTAGGGATAAATTGAATAAGACAATTAACACGGTACAAAATGACTCTATGAGAAAGACGGAATACATGGAGAATCATGCCATGTTCTTGGAGAGGAAGACTCAATATTTTAAGAAAATCAATTATAGTAGTTCCCCCTTATCCATGGGGGATACTTTCCAAGACCCCCAGTGGATGCCTGAAACCACAGATAGCACCAAACCCTATATATACTATGCTTATTTTCCTATACATACATACCTATGATCAAGTTAATTTATAAATTAGGCATGAGAGATTAACAACAATACCTAGCAATTATAACAGCATACTGTAATCAAAGTTATGTGAATGCGGTTTCTCTCTCTTAAAATATGGTAAGCAATCTGATTACCGAGACAGCTGCTAAGTGGCTAACAAGGGGGGTGCTTGTACAGGTAGGATCCCCTGGATGAAGGGATGGATTATGTGTCCTGGATGGGACAGCATGAGATTTCATCATACTGCACAAAATGGCATGCAGTTTAAAACTTATGAATTGTGTACTTCTGGAATTTTCCATTTAATATTTTTGGACCATGGCTGACCACAGGTAAAAACTCAGAAAGCGCAACCGCGGATAAGGGGGAACCACTGTGTCTTCCTGATTAGTTTATAAATTCAGTGCAATCCCTATAAAATCTCAACTAGGCTTTTTTTTTGCAACTTGACAAGAGGTTTGGAAATCCACCTGAAAAAGCAAATGTGCAAGAAAATTTTGAAGCAAACAGACTAACGAAGGGAAAATTAGCATACCAGATATCAAAACATACTCCAATGTTACAGTAACTAGCACGATGGAGTACTGGCCATGCGGAAGACTAGTAGATTAGTAACATAGAATAGAAAATCTGGAACTAAATACAAATACAGTACATTGAGTATTTATGTTACAATGACATTTCAACACAATGCAGAAAGGCTGATCCATTCAATAAAAAAAAGAGAGAGAGAGTGGAATGTCTATCTATTAAAAAAATAAAATTAGATAAAGTTAGGTATTACTTCAGATCAAAGAAATAAAACTTCAGCTAGATTAAAGCATATAATAACCCAATCCGCAACAATGTTACAAAACAATTGAGAAGCATATTTATATATCTTAAGTCGGGACAGTCCTCCTGATACAAGAAATGAGGCTCGGAATTTGTAAAGAGAAAACCTGATGGTTTGACTGTACAAGAGTTATGCCATCTTGGAAATACGCTTACAACATATATACCAGATGAAACGCTACTATCCTTCAAACAGTAAGAAAGACAACAAGCAACTGGGCTACAAAAATAAGTAAAAGATTATTTCATTTAAACAAATTGTCAATAAATGTTTGGAAAAAATGCTCTGTGCCACTAGCAATATGGAGAAATGAACGTTAAAACAATGAGCAACCATTATCCCCCATAAGTCTGTGCAAAAATTTAAATGATTGATATTACAAATGTAGACAGTGATTTGGGGTACCCTTTTTAATCCAGCAATTTCTCTTCTTAGGATTAATTCTAAAGAAATACGTAGTCACATGTGCTCAAAATTATGCACAGAACTAATCCTAGTAGTATCTTTGGTGATGAAGAAAAATGGGATAATATAAATGGCCAACACTAGCAGAACAGCTAAACAACGTGTACATCCACGTTGCGGAATATAATGCAGCCATGAAAAAGAAGGAGGTTGGTGTGGGGGGTGGTCTCCTTATTTCCTCTCTTGTTGTGCCTTTTTGCCCAGGCACCATCTCTTCCCCGCTCCTTGCCCCAAGGACACTCACCATGATGGAACCAACCACAGGACCTTTGATCACCCACCACA